GGGAAAATTTCTCCAAGCCAAAAGGTTAAAAAAAAAAAAAAAAATTAGATCAGCAAACCACTACCCAAATGTAAACGGAAATGTGTCTTCAGAAAGCACCACCCTCTTGAAATGCCTGTCCACTTCCAGAGCCTCGAAGCTTCACTGCGAGACCTCAATTCTTGGGTGTGAGATGCACAACTCAGGAAACCCAAACCCACCTGTGCACGTCCACAGCCTCATTCAGATGGCTGGCTCGGCGAAGGAATGGGCTTTTGTCTCCAGTCCCACTGAGGTTCCCATGCAGCAACTGTCACCAAAAAGCTGTGTCCCTGCGAGCCACTGAGCTGCCCTGAGCCGAACACGCTGAAGAACTTTGAGCCCGTGAGAGGCACTTCGCTGTTATTATTACGGATGCACCAGATATTTATTTTTTTTATCCTCCTCTTTGGCACATTCCCAGTACTCAAAAAAAAGCAGCTGTATTATCATTTATCTACCAAAGGAATGTATTTCTAGTATTCTTGAACACAGGCGAAGGCTCTTCTGAACTGGCTCCCTTTGAAATAGTCATCTGACAACGTGCACACCTCAAGAATGTTCTTCTTTTCCACCTGGGCCTGGGCATACAATAATAGCAAGCTGCTCACCCCTCCGGCAAAGCAGAGTGGCTGCCCATTCACTTCCCTCCAAGTCGGCTGGAATGATCCACCCAAGGGAGTGGCTTCTCACCTAGAACTTACCCTGTGGACACAGACGCAGAGCCCACGGAGGGCCCTGGGAAGGCCCTGGGCGGCCTGGAGTCACGGTCCTACTGTGTGCTCACAGCTGCGCGCCATGGCCACGGGAAACCATCCACCGAGAGCTTTTGACTGCTGTGGATGGAGCAGCCATGCTTGCTGACACCCTTCGGGGCAGAAAACACTTTTCTCTCTTATCTGTACACAGTCAACCTTTCCCGTAAGAACTCCAGCCCCTGCACAGGTGTCTTTCCCCCCAGCCCCTGTGCAGGTGTCTTCCCCCCCGCCCCAGCCCCAAGGGTTGCGCAGGGAACTGGGGTCCCAAGACTGTCATGGCAGCGTGTGCCCGGAGAACCCTGCTGCAGCCAGGTCCTGCAGGCTCTCCAGCCTGGGACAATACTGGCCTCTGAAGCTCCCCCGGGACATGGGATGCCAACCTTCCTGCTACTCCCCCAAATCCTGTATGCATCTGCGTCTCCATCCACTCACTGGATGGCAGCCCACAGATGACCACCCCCAAGAGGACAGGGATGCTCAGACATGAGTTTCAGGCCAGGACCAAGGTCAGGTTGAATCTGAGTTCGCAGGCATCAAAGAGTTTCCGCGCACACACACGCACGCACGATGCACCGTGAGCCCCTCCAGCATGAGGAGTGCTCTCACCCACCCAGAGGCTGGGGCCCTAGTGGGGAAGCAAAGAACCAGCACTGAAGACATTTCCAGCAACAACCGGAAAAATCGATAAATGCAGCGATCCCCAGCTAGCAATTTAAAAAATTCCCAGGCTCATTTCTTTAAATTCCCCCCCAACTGAACGGAAATAGAATATTAAATACTACGAAGAAAGCCAGTCAATTTGGGCCCCCATGCAGTGTGATGGGGGGCGTTCTCCTGCACGCCTGCAGTGCCTCATTACAAATGACCCTCCTCAGAGAGATCCTGACCCTACTTGGTGCAAAGGTACTGGGGTGGGATGCTGAGCCAGTGGAATGATCCACAGCTGGATCTGGCAGCCACTGACCTTCCCACAGCAAAGTCCTCTAGTCCCTCCAGGCTCTCCCCAAACCACCGCAGGAAGGCAAATGGAGACCTGAGTCCCCCACCGCCCTGTGTCCCCAGGAGTCACAGAACACAGAATGACCACAGCACACAGGAAATACACTGGCTGCTTGCGCCAAAGCCACTTCCCCCAAGGAGGAGAAAGGAGGAAGCAGCAAGTGACGTGGCGGTCACTCCCGATCCCTCTGGACCCAGAGCCAGCAGCCGGGGTGGACAGAGAAGCACCTGTCTCCGGGTACCTTCCAAGAGGGGCTGGCAGGACATTGTGTGGAGGAGGGTGAGCAGCTGTTGTGTGCGTGTCCCCAGGAAGCCCAGGGACAATGGCCTGAGAAGCACCCTGGCCTGTATGTATGGGTTTGGAACTCACCCCTCTGGGGAGAGAAAAGGGGACCTTTGGGGGTTTCATGCGGCAGACAAGATTCCAACTCCAGGGACTGACCTTGGATCTATCTTGCCCAGCCTGGGCCATCAGACATCCTTGGATGGCGTCGGTGCCTGCCCCTCAAGCAACTCTATCTGCTGTGACTGGAGAGTGCCCCCCGAGCCAAGTGATACCTCAGACATTATAGATGCGCCTCACATGACACATCTACCTACCTTGCCAAACTTCCGAGGCTGGCTTTTCTATACTAACAAAAAGGGGCGATTTCATCCGTTAACACGTGACGGAACTGGTTCTGCAGCCACGTGGTGTTTACATATCTTTGGTCAAAACTTACAGAACAGCAGGCGGAAAGGGTGAATCTTACTGTATGTAAATTACACCTATGTGAAAGTTTCTCAACCTCCCTCTCGACGAAAGACCAAAACAAATAAAACAGACATCCTCCCCTGGGCAGTCAACTGCAGTCCCAGAGCAGTGACCCCAGCCTCCAGCTCGCCCCAGGAAATCACCTCGGTCCCAATCCCCAACCCCCAGAAGGGCCTCCACATCAGCGGGAAGGACCCCACTCCACACACACCGGCAGCGTCCCTGAAACTCAGCCGCACTTCACAACAGTCTTGTCCGGGAAGACACTTTTGTTGCCTCCGGCAGGGGAAAAGAGAAATGAGACCCCCCCTCCAGTACCGTGCCTTGACTGCTCTTACCCCAAAGTCTCCTCGGTCCTCGGAGGAGGTCCCTTTAAAAAAGTGAGCCTTGTCAGGGTCTCTTTAATCTAACTGCAAACCCATTTGATCAAGCCAGGAATGGAGAGGCTCCCCCCCAGCCCCGCCCCACTGCTCCCTTCAGGAAGATCCCCAGCGGGACTGGATCTACCCTTGCTAAGGGCTGCCGCTGTCATCCTGGGGAAGCGTGGGATGTGCGTGCAAGGGCCAAGCCAGTAGCCCGCGAGAGCCCCCGGAGGCCACACCCAGCCTAACAAGTCCCCATCAGTAGGGCGTTGGGACCCCAGGCGTGCCCCAATCCTGAGAACCCAGGGACACCCACTGAAGGAGAAACAGTGGGGTAGCGCTGGAGTTCATCCAAGGTCACAGAGCAAGCTCAGGGCAGAGCCAGGACAAGACCTGAGACTTCCCTTGCTGGCCCCTTTGTTAAAGAGGATCACCACCATCCCTGGCCCTGAAGATGACCGATGTGGGGGGGGGGGGCAGAGGATATAGTGACAGTGACAAAATAGCCCTCAGCCCTATCTTGGCACCTGGGCTTCTCTGTGGAACAAAACAGGGTCATGTGCAGGAGCTCAGAGCGAAGCTGACACTCAAGCTCTAGTGTAAAATGAGCTGGGTTTAGAGATGACTGACCCACCCTGCAGCCCGAGTCCTTGAGCAGACCCCCAAAGACTGACCCACCGTGCATGCAGCCCAAGTACTTGACCCACTGTCCTCCTGTCTGTCCACCACCTGTCAGTCACCTGGGCCTGTCAGACTGAGCACCAAGCACCCTTCTGATAGCTCCTCCACCCCCCACGTCCACTGAGTCCACAGCGGGTCCAGTCCCCCAGGCACCACGGCCATCGCTCTAAAATGCCATGTCTTGGGGCGCCTGGGTGGCTCAGTTGGTTAAGCATCTGCCTTCAGCTCAGGTCATGATCCCAGGGTTCTGGGATTGAGCCCCGCATCGGGCTCCCTGCTCAGCGGGGAGTCTGCTTCTCCCTCTCCCTCTGTTCTCTCTCGCGCGCGCAAATAAATAAAATCTAAAAAAAAAAAAAAAAAAAAGCCATGTCTGGCCGTGGTGATCTGAACTCAGGGCCACCCCGCAACCCTCTGGGCCCTCTCTTTGCCTCTTCAGACCTAGAGTCCTTCCCACTCCCACACTTCATTCTCTCTACTCCAACGTTAACTACTACTATAATAATAATAGTAATGCCCACATTGGAGATCTTCCTCAAGGCGCATGTCAAGGGCTGGCCATACATGAAGTCACTTCACCCTCTTCCCTGAGCACCCACCACCCCACAGTGAAGACACTCAGGCATAAGGAAGTGGGGTCACGTCCCAAGGACTTCACCAGGGGGGCAGGTGTCCTGGGACCCGAAATGCACATCTGGAAGTTATGTTCTTAAGCTCTACACAGCACATCCTCAGTCATAGGAGAGCACCACGGATGTCTTTCAATTCCTCCAGCAGCTCAGCATCCCTGACCCCTCAGCCTGGGGATGACCTACCGCCCACCCATGCCCTGGAGAAGCCCCTCGTGCCCATTCCAGCTCTTGCAAGGTCACCAGTACATTGCTGAACTTCAGGATAAACCCTCCTTGCTCTCACCTGGAGGCTGGCGCACAGTAGGAACTCTATTTGCTCAAGAAGTGGATTTTTGTTCAACAGGCCATTTTCAGAAAAGCAAATTCATCTCGGTGTCACTGCATAAATTTCCACAAATCAATCCAAATTGAGTTACTTTATCATAGAACGTAAAAATTTTAAACCCTATGCATAAAATATGATACATCTATTTTTATTTGATCTACAAAATTATAAAGCTTTCCTAAATCTCTTAAAGGTGGTTTTTCCAGTAATGCATAACTGCTTAATTGGGAAGTGTACAAAACATAATTACACTGCCTAACACTACAATATTGCTTATGGGAATATCTTCGTTCATGCATTCTGCTTTATTCTGTATTTAATCTCTATTAAGTTGTCTATATGAGAACAGATAGGTACGCTAGTCTTCATAAACACCATAAATCATAAAGTCATTTCTTTGCTAACCCAAGTCCAAAAGCAGCCCCCAAAGAAACTGCTAGGACCCAAAAGCTTCTACTTCTCGTATTTAAACAGAATTGTGGCCCCGGGCATCTATCCCTGTGCCACTTGGCCAGGTAATGGTTAAGGTAATGGTTGGAATTTCTCTCACAGTAAATGTCTCTGTGTGTAATTCAAAAGGTATCCCAAACTTCCCCCAGAAAGCAGTTACCCAAACCAGAAAGGGCCAAAAAGCTCAAGACCACAGTTAACAACCTCAGATCAAGGAGTTAGAAGCCCCTTAGATCACTCATCTGAGGACACCATGCATGCCCCCCCTTCAAGCTCACCTTGACCCTAGCACCTGGAACTCACACCAAAGGCTCCAGATTCTTCAAACTGGGTGGACTTCCCCACACCCCCGCCCTGCCTTCAAATTTGTACACACACCCTCATCCTTAGAATTGGGTTAGCTGAGGGGCACCTGGATGGTTTAGTCAGTTAAGCATCTGCCTTCGGCTCCGGTCATGAGCTCAGGGTCCCGGGATCGGGTCTCCGAGCTCAGTGGGGAGTCTGCCTGTTCCTCTCCCTCTGCCCGTTCCTCTCCCTCTGCCCCTCCTCCCGCTCAGGTGCAGGTGTGCATGTGCGCAGTGCACGCTCTCTCTCTCAAATAAATACAATCTTTAAAAAAAAAAACAATTGGTTTATCTGAATACAAAGCCACTCTTCAGACAGCTTGGTATTGGTAGAGAAGAGGCAGGTCAGAACCAGCTCCATCATTTATAAACTGTGAGCCCATCCACATGGCTTGTGAGACCCCTCAGCGGATTCCACAAGTGGGAGGTAACCACACCTCCTCACTGTCTCATTAAGGGTTGTTACTAAAAAACAAAACAAGCTCCTGGATGACAAAGCGTTTCTACAAACAGAAGAAAGGTAAGTTGTCATCTATATAGAAACATAAGCTATCAGCCTCAGTGAAGCCTACTAATTAATAAATCCACTGATTAAGATAAAAAGAATCTGCCACAAAATGTGTTTGCTTACAATTCTAAAACAGAAGGTGTTGTCCCCAAATCTGTGTTTGGCAACACAGGGAAATAATACCATCGGCTCACAAGAACTCCTGGAGGTTGACTTGTTCACTTGCAAAATGAGGCAGATGTGCCTGGTGCTGATCTCGTTCATGCTCACACCGGCCAGCGTGCAAGTCACTGACCCCGCTGCTGCACCCATCCTTGACTTGTGTACCCAGATTTCCAAAGTGTGCTTCCCTGAAGTGACTCATATTGTACTAAAATGTAATTTATAAAACCAACTTCTCCCCTTGCCAGCAGGCTGTGACACTCAGCCCAGCCCCCCTTGGTGGACACTGCTGGCCAGTCAGAAGAGAGAGAGTTCCATGTCAAGTGCATCTGAGTATGGAACCAGCTCCAATGTTAACGGGTACATGCAGAATTTCCCTCCTGTCCCTAGGAAAGCCTGGTGCTATTCTAGGGGGTGAAGAATCCCTCTTAAACCCCCCCCCAAAAAAAACCCAAAAATGAGACTAGGTCGGGCAGCAATCCATATTTCCCATTTCCAAATCTATTCATTCAGATTTTGAGGGGGACGGGGTTATTCAAGACATATAAAATCTTTCAATCATTTGTCGTGCCAAATGTTCACTAGACTCAAGTGTATGTATGTGTGCTGGGGAGTGGTTTGTTGTTGAAGAAAGATAATGTGTGTGCAGTTGGCAGGTTCTGGGCTGGCTGCATTAAGAACCACCAGGAGGAGTTTGCTAAAAATATAGCTGTTCTGGCCCTACCTGGAGCTTCTTCCAAAGATATGTTGGGTGGAGCTCCAGGAGACTGACTCCTGGCCAGGGGGTACCCCAGAGAAGCCCTGCTCCAGAGGCCACCCTCTCAAACCACCTGGGCACAAGCCCTCCCTCGGGGCTGCATGAATCACTCATGTGAAAACCATCAAGCCCACAGCCAGCTTCTTACCGCTAAACGCACGCACGGAATCCATGGGCTCTGCTCATGGGGCAGGCCGGAGCAGGGCCTAGGGTGGGGGTGGGCTGAGGGGTGCTGGCAACTTGTGCTGACCCAGCAGGGCACAAAGGACCTCTCCGTGATCCCGGAAGGCCTCTAATTCCAGTTTGATGTTTTACAGGGATGTAGCAAGGCACGCAGCTCATCGCTTGAAAAAGGCAGAGGCAGAAGGGAACTTAAGTCGCACTTACTTTACCACCCACCACAGCTTCTGGTACTACCCATGGTTCCCACTCCTCTTAGACCACCACCACCACCACCAATGATGATGATGATGATGATGATCAAACCACAGCTAATGTCTGAGCCCTTCCCACGTGCATTAGCCTTTAGTTACTGAACACCACTCCCTAGGATTTGCAAATGTGGAAGTATGACATTTTGGTCCCTGACCCCTGAGATGTCCTCACATTCCAGCACCGGCTGCCTCCCAAGGGCATTTTCAAGGACCATCTTGCTTTCCAAGGGAGATTTTTTTTTTTTTTTTTAATGGCATGAATTGAGCCCAAAGAAACTGCTGGTCCATGAAATGACGAGCCCACCCTGAAGGCAACAAACTGTCCCTTCCACGGACCCCGGTAGGACATCTTCCCAGAACACAGTCCCCCCAGGCTGTGCCTCACCACTTCATGCTCTCGAGATCCTACTACTTGAACCTGGAGCCCAACACGAAATGCAGAGCAGGAGCCCTGCCCCCGGGCGGTCATGTGCACACCCACACAGCACCGGGCCCTAGTGGGCACCCAGTCAGTCCCCATGAGTGGATGACTGCCCTGGGAGGAGATGAGCAAGTACCATCCTATTTCCAGGGCCAGTCACCAGAGCTGCTATGGACCAAGTGCCCACCACGTGCCAGGAAGGCGACCCCAACAAGCCATTCTCTGGGACAGGCACCAACCCTCCTACTGCCCGCTCGGGACCTGGAGATCGGACGGGAGCATGTGAAGGCAAATGCTGACAGGGAAGGGGGCTGACTAGTGCCTTCTCCTACACAAATTCCGCTAGGAATGTGGCCAGTCAGGCCCACCTGCACTGTGCTTTATCAGCTCTGGAGAGAAGGTGCGGGGCACTCGGTGGTGCTGAATTCAACACAGGGCTGGCTCTCCAGTGGACCCCACCTGTCCAGGGCAGCTGCAGCAGGGGGTGGCCCAAGCCCCCATGTGGGCCGTACTCAGGCAGAGGGAGGCAGCACCCAACGCTACTCTTTCTTCCTTCTCTGGTAAGGGAAAGTAGCTCTTAAAGAGAAAGTAAATATTTTACTGGGCATTTCTCAGAGTGACCTAATACAGAGTAGCATTCCAGTCTAAAAACAACCTGAATGGTTTTTGGGTCATCACTTTGGCCCCAGGAATCCTCGAGAAGATGGGTTGCTCCCTAACCTAACCAGCCACCACCCTTATATCCCTGTACTTTTTTTTAACAGCACCAGGATTTGGATATCCCACCCTCAAACACTATTCAACTACACACCCATTTCACCTAGCACTTCACCAGGCTCCATAAAATTCACCCATCCTTCGTGTGCAAAGGATAAAACCTCCCATCCATTGGGCGGCCATTCCCCTAGGACACACAGCCCACCATCTGTGACTAGCAAGCCCCATCTCAAAGCCCAGGGAGCCTTCTCTCCTGTCCCCCAACACCCAAGGGGAACCCCTTTCCACTGCTGAGGTCAGGATTCTCTGATCTCCACCCCGACGGTGTGAAGGACACACAAGGAAACCTGCTCCAACAGGTACACAGCACCTCGAGGCAGAAGTGGATGATTTATTTGTCTATATTTTGTATTTTTAAAAATTTAACAAATACCTATGGTGTGTCAGGCCTGTTCCAAGCAGTTTATAATTCTGATCCTCATTTTAGATTCAGAAACGGTAAGTCCTCTCCAAGGCCTCAGTAAATCCCGAATGCAGTCAAGCAGCTTTCCCTGCCTCCTTTGCCACACACTTTCTCAAACCGTCCGTCCCATCTGATCAGTCCGTGTTTATCTTGTTGCCTCTCCTAAGGTCTTGAGGATGGGGTGGCTCTCCTTGGGCCCAGCATCAGTCTGGGAAGGATGACATTCAACGACCTTTCTGTGGGACCTCTCCTCTCCCTCCCGGGAAGTGTGAACAGGCAGAGAACACTGGTAACCCTGGGCTCCCAAGTGGGCTGCTGGGATGGCTCAGGGGAAAGCTTCTGGGTCTGACCCTGGAGCCTGCCACGCCGAGTGATCACCAGGTTGTAAAACTCCCTGCTACAGGCAAGGCCAAAAAGTGGTCCCTGCACTGGCCCCGCCCCCTCCCCCACTAACAGGAGAACCCAGACCCAACTCCCACCAGTCCTCCCTCGGTTGCTCCAGCCTGCCCAGCCTGCTGGGCCGCTGCCCCAGATGATGGAAGGAATCACGGCAAAACACAACAAAACCCAACTTTTTAATCCCTCTTGTGCAGAAACGTTTTAAAGAACTGGAGTTATACTTGCAAAGCGCGTTTCAAGTGGTTTTGCTGAGGTGGGGGGGCGGGGGGAGGAAGGCAGCTTCGAAGCTCTCATGCCCGTGTGACACACACAGTAAGAACACAACCCAAACAGCAGCCAGTCACAAGCCTCTTCCCTTTGTGCCCCTGGGACACAGGGGACTCAAATAAGGCAAGCTCACAATTATCACAAAGAAAACTCAAATCACGTGGAGCTGCTTCCTTTGCCCACGACTCGGAGCACATCTGGCCAGTTTAGGAAGGAAAAAAAATTACCCACGGTTCAAAGTCCTCCTTAAATACTCAGGAAGACATCATTATGGATAGAATTCCAACTTTAATTCTGAAATCTCCTGGCTTTTGTCAGCTGAAGCCACATTCTTAATCCCAGGCTTAGTTGAGAAATGAGAAGAAAGGATGTGTGTTTAAAAAAAAAAAAAAAAATTCTCAGCCCTGAGTGAAAAGCAACAAGCATCTTGGAAGAGCAGGAGAATAAACTGAACTCCGCACAGAGGCCAAGGTGGAGAAAAATCGGGTCTTAGGAAACCTGGTGTACTAACCACGGCACCAACATGGGCATGTGGGGCACTAATCAGATGGCCCCTGTGTCCTGCTGGAGGGACTTGGATGCCAAGCTCAGGGGGCCTTTCTGCAGAGCCAGGGAACCCTGAAACGTGGAACAGGGCAGAGACACACACCTTCTACACCACAGATCTGAAGGCCGGTTCTGAGGCCACCCACGACCCCTGGCTCCCATCAAGAACCTGCATGGTGGGGC